AAACGCTGCTACACAATTCTTATTATTATTATTATTGAAACATGACCGGTAAGTTTCAAATTTGTCCGGTAAAATTAAATTCTGTCCGCGGAAACCCTGCTCCGGACTACGCAAAATGCGTATATGAAGTGACATGAACGCAAGAAATCTACCCTCGTGGGGGCGCGCTCATGTGATTGGCTTAGAATTGAGGAGACATCTGATTGGCTATAGATAGAAAAAATTACAAGTACGAATCGGGTGACCGTCAGGGGAGTCTCAAAAAACCCACACACGAATGCAGAGCAATCCATGCACAGAAAGCGGTTTGTGTTTGCAGGTTCAGGGGATTTAAACGGAAAACAAATATGTGAGGATCAAAAATACATATGTAAAACTTTTTTCTGTATTTGGATTTTATTTACATGTATATGAAACGGAACACATTTGTGTGTGCATTGAAAAACACAAGTGTGGATCCGGAAATACAAGTGTGAATCCTTTTGTGGATCATGAAATACAAGTGTGAATCCTTCTGTGTGCATGTGTGTATTATGAGACTGTTCTGAGCCCATAGCTTTGGAGAGAGACTGTGTCCGGAGGTGTCCGTGATCGTGCTGATTAGCCTCTTCAGCTCCACCCCATCGTAAGACAAAGGCCCTGGGGCCGTCACACTCTTCTATAACAACAGTTAAAAATATATATGTATATAAAATATACCGCTGTACCGACGCCATGATAAGACTGATGTTACGCTGAGAGCAGCCGGGAAAAGCACTGACATGGGCGCAGCCTCTCTGGTGGTTGACTAATCAGAACGAGTGGCCGAGCTGACCAATCGGAGCACACTAGGCTCACAGGGAGGGGGGGGGGCAAGAGCTCCAACGAGTCGTTTAGTGGAGAAAGTGAATACTGCTGAATACACATGCTTGACAGAGATGCTGTATGCGAAACCAATGTGAGTTTGGAAAATTGCACAGTATAAATCTATTTTAGTATACCTCAACAATGTAATTATGATCAGTGGAAATGGCCATGACATGGGCCCTTTAAGTAACCCAAAATGTTAAACAGTAAGAGTAGTAGTCATATTTCGTGAACCCTTTGAAGAGTACTGTCACACCGGTGTGATCATTGTATAATACACAATTTAAGCCCGGGGGAGAAATGCTAACGCTAACGCTAGCGATCTTCTCTACTTCATGCTATCTGCACAAATGGTTGACATTAAACATTAAAAAGACCATTCAGTTCAGAGAGAATCAAAGGAAGGCAGGCAGGCAGCTTTGCATGACTTTCTTCAGGACGTGTTTCATTGTGGTGATAGTGAGGGTAGTCAATCGTTTTGTTGACAAGACAGTAGTGACGGCCATCTTGGTGACGTGTGTTGTTGACCAGAGATGTAGTTCATTGAGCGTTTCACACAAACAAATGTGTTACTTCACAGTTTTACGACACATTTTTTTTTTTTTGACTTGCAAAATTATCTTTTAAATTGACAAACATCATATGTGTAATTCGTGGCACAAATCAAACGGGATCGAAAGATAATCTTTCTCTCTCCATTGACTTCAATACATAATTTTTCCGAAATAAGGTCCCATGGAGGTCCACCGGAAGGGGAGGGACTTCGCCACTCCATGGGGCAGACCAGCCGTCCAGGCAACACTCAGGCCGTTTCTCAATCGCGAGGATATTGGCTTCCAAGCCAATATTTCAAGGATGCTACGTCATCGAGTGCCGCCGAAGGACTGTTCCAATCTCCAGCATACTTGGAATTCCACCGAGGCCGCGTCCTTGGTTTGGGGGAAATTTCGAGGCTGCACATGGGTAGACTTCGCGTCCTTAAAATCCCCACAATGCTTTGCGCATGGACCAATTTCCCCAAATCTGTGGCGGAAGATGTAAGATGCTAGCCTGTTCCACTCTTCGTTTTCCGAATAGCAGGAAGTATTCTTGCCTTGCTTCTGAAGCAAGATGCTCGGCTCGGCTGTCCTACCAAGCCAGCATCCTCGCGATTGAGAAACGGCCTCAGTCAGGCAGTAGTGTAGCGGTGAAGCACAGTAGGGCAGGCAAGCCAGCTGTGCAGACAGACACAGCCGTGAGGGCAGACCAGCCAGGCAACACTCAGTCAGGCAGGCAAGACACTCGTAGAAGTAGAGCAGTCGTGGATGCAACACAGACGTAGAGGCAAAACAGCAGTCCCTCTTTATCAAGCTTCCAGCGCAGAGCCTAGCAGACATTTAAAGGAGAGGTGTCATGCTTTTCCGGTTATTACCCGTCCCCTTGTGTGTTATGAAGGTTTTTATGCATGTAAACGGTGTGCAGAGTCAAAACCCTCAAAGTACACCCTGTAGCGAGTAAAACTCTAACACAGAAAATACCTCCCCAAAACGCCTCGTTGGAGATACGTCATTGTCGGAACTAAATGGACCAATCCGTGGAGCCGTTACATTATGTCCGCGGAGCCGTTACGTTAAGCCCCCGCTGATTGGTCCAAATTGACCAATCCACGGACTTCCTCACACACACATCTGTGTGCAGGGAGCAGGCAGCTCAGCTGATGTCTCCTCCCTGGCTGCAGGCTGATAACAGACAGTTGGGATCGCGGCGAAATTCTCTCGGCAGACCCATTCTCACAGCGTTTATCAACCTTTTTCTTACTCAATATCAAGCCACACTTATTGTTTTTACTTCGGCTGTGACTTTGTGTGTGCTCAGCATGAGTTTGACTGTGTTTCGCTATGTATCCTAAACAGAGATGGGGTCGTTACTAAAAAAAAGTAATATATTACATATTACATATTACTTTAAAAAAAAGTAATATATTACACTACCTCGTTTCTCTCTACATAAAGTAACTCGTTACTTTACTCGTTACTTTACTCGTTACTTTACTCGCAGGGCCGGCCAGCCCCTCCCTGCAGGCAGATCACGCAGACTGCTAAAGTTTCAAAAGTTCTCTTTAGGTCAGTTTCCATTGTCGCATAAGACTGATCCAGATAGCTCTGACTATGGCTGTCCTCTGTCTCCTGCTATCTGTATTTCGCGCAGTATATCTCTGAACGATGCGATGGTGATTCCACTGTGCAAATGGGCAACATTACCTCTACTATGAAGGATGCTACAAGCCTGTCCATCTCTGCTTTGGTTACCGGTCCTCCAAATTCTAATTTGTGCTGCTTCGGAATCGGCGGCGGCGACTCACAACATCCTCACTCTGGGTTCGGGGGTCCTTAGCTATTAGCTTCACCTTAGCATGTGTTCTTTGCAGGTGCTTGTTGAGGTTTGACGTGGTGTTTGCAGCAGTGGATAACAGCTTCTGGCCTGGACACAGTTTGCACCTCACCGTTACATTCCTGTCTATTCTTCGGACGAACTCAAAATAATGGGCATACCTCCACCCCTCGAAAGTTATCGCTGACTCAGCCATGTTTATGGAGCACTGCACGCGGAGATGTGGACGTGAAAGTCGCGCAGATTACGTACATATAAACCTGCGGCGGAAACCCCTCTTGTCTGTCAGTGTGATTATGACTGATTTTATAAAAGTAACGAAGTAACGCGTGTCGGGCAATGTTAGTAACTGTAGTGTGATTACTGAATTATAAAAGTAACGCGTTACACTGCTCCGTTACCGACAAAAGTAATATTATTACAGTAACGCGTTACTTTGTAACTTTGTTACTTTGTAACGCGTTACACCCAACTCTGATCCTAAACAAGGAAACAACACCTCCACGGAGCTCAGCGCGATTCACAACGTCCCGACCAATCAGAGCACACTGTGCTCACAGGGAGGGTGGGGGCTGGAGCTTTGGGAGCTACAACGAGCCGTTAAAGGCAGAGAGTGAAATTCAGTGAATACACGTAGTTTACAGAGATGCTGTATGAGAAACCAATGTGAGTTTGGAAAAATGCACAGTATAAATCTATTTTAGTATACCTCAACAATGGAATTATGATCAGTGGAAATGGCCATGACACCTCTCCTTTAAAGTGATGTTACGATAATAATACTAGATTAAGATTATTCAGGAAGAATGAGACAAGCAGCAGGTTTACCTACCGATTAGGCCAAGTTCAGACAAACACACAGCAGAAGAGCTTCATTTACAGCGGCAGCAGACATGTGCTGCAGGATCCCTGCAAGGGTCTATATAGAGCTTTATTGGCCCCTATGGGAAATGTACAAGCTACCCTGCAGTATATACAGGTAAACTTGCTTCCTATTTATCAGAGGCAACTTTTGAGCATTAATGGATTAAGATTTATGATTTTAAAGTATAACATACATTTTTCAGAATATTACGTTTTTCAGGTACTTTTACTTTTACAAATTTGACGACTTAAGGACAACGTATTCAGCACTTTAACTTAAATAAAAATAGTAATACCACCGTGTGTAGAAATGATCAACACAATACAAATAAATCCAGCATTTAAATGTGATAAACACATGAATGCATCAATGATTATAATCAAAACATATCATATATATTATTCTGAATGGGTCGATCTGCATATTGAGTACTTTTACTTTTGGAACTTTAACTATGTTTTGATGCCAATACTTTTGTACTTTTACTTCAGTGACATCTTGAATGCAGGACTTTTACTGTAACAGAGTATTCCTACACTCTGGTATTTCTACTTTTACTCAAGTAAAATATCTGAGTACTTCTACTTTTACTCAGGTACAAGCTCTGAGTACTTCTACTTTTATTCAAGTACAAGATCTGAGTACTTCTACTTTTACTCAAGCACAAGATCTGAGTACTTCTACTTTTACTAAAGTACAAGGTCTGAGTACTTCTACTTTTACTCAGGTACAAGGTCTGAGTACTTATTCCACCTCTGCAGCTTACAATAAGTGCAATCAACCACGAGGATGCAAACTCCGAACAGCACGAATCCTGCAAGAACATTAGCTTCAGATATGCCAAACATTTGTAATTGCTATACAGATATTTGATTTGTTTATTTATTTGACAATTGCCAGGGTTCTCACACGCACCAAGCCCTGGCAGCACATCACCCCTACTCTCTTCAACCTCCACTGGCTCCCGGTCAAGTCCCGCATCACTTACAAACTCCTGCTCCTCACCTACAAATCCCTCCATGCCCTCTCCCCTCAGTACCTCACAGATCTCCTCCACCCTTACATCCCGTCCCGCACCCTTCGATCCTCAGACTCCGGCCTGCTCTCCATTCCCCATTCACGCCTCCGCACCTTCGGGGACCGTGCCTTCAGTGTCGCTGCCCCCACCCTCTGGAACTCCCTCCCTGCAGAAATCTGCAACGCCCCTTCTCTCAACATCTTCATATCAACCCTTAAAACTCATCTGTTCAACATCGCCTTCCAACTATAACTCACTCCCCCCCCACTTACACTTCCATTTCTGCCCCCTGTTTTATGTTTATGTTTTTTTATGTTTTATGTCTTGTCCTTGTATGTTTCTTTGTAAAGCGACCTTGAGGTTGAAAGGCACTATATAAATTCAAATTATTATTATTATTATTACAATTACCTCAAAATGTACACAGAGGGTTCTAAGAACAAGGAAGAGTGTGTTGGAGTTGGTATATATCCCAGATTTTAAAATATCCATCTCAAAAAGAGCGTCTGATCAATTATCAGTGTGCACAGCAGAAAGGCTGGCAGTAATAATAGGATTACAGTGGGTTGAAGAGGTCAGACCAGATAGGGTGGTGATATATAGATTCATTGTCCATATTAAAAAGCATACAGTCAACAACAACTGTCAGAGAAGACATTCTCATAGAACTGAATCATAGCCTGTTAAGACTTCACAGAGGCGGTATAGATCTGCAGTTCTGTTGGCTGCCTGCACATGAGGGGGTGAAAGGGAACGAGTGTGCTGATAAATGAGCAAAAAGTGCACTACAAAAGGAAATAACATTACCAGTTCAACTTGGAAAAGGAGAAGGAAAAGCAGTGATTAAGAAGAAAGGGATGGAGATCTGGCAGAAAAGGTGGGAGAAAGACCAGAAAGGCAAAGAGTATCATAAAGTTCAAAACACAATTACAATGAATATTTATAAAGAAAGAAACAGAAGGGAGGAAATCATGATAGCTAGACTCAGACTAAATCACACAGCATTGAATGGTACTCTGTATGTCATGGGGAAAAGTGACAGTGACAAGTGTGGGAGCTGTGGAGTTAAAGAACATGTGGAACATATCTTATTACATTGTGACATCTATAAAGCTGAAAGAGAAAAACTAAAGGATAAAGTGATAGAGGCAGAGAGGGAATGGAGTGTGGTTGGTATTCTGGGAACAGAAGGAGAGGGAGGAAGAGCTACCAGAAAGGCACTGTTTACCTTTCTGAGGGAAACTGGGGTAGGACAAATAATGTAACATTAGGTTAGAATAGATCATGGATGATTGTTTTGTTTTGTTTTATTTATTCTATGGTTTCTTATTTTATTTTTCGTTATTTTGTTTTGTTAGAGATGGAATGACATGATAATACACACTCATGTACAGTAGGTGGCGGTATGCACCCTAAAGTTGTTTGCAATCCGCCATGAGAAGAAGAAGCTCTTTCTAACCTGGATCCATGTGGCGTCTCGTCGCTACGGTTCTCTCTCTCTCTCTCTGTGTTCCTGAGAAAGCGTTTGTGAGCTCCAGCACTACTGATCCATCATCTGTGTGTCTGGATAAACCTCCGAATAGACTCTGTGCTCTTTTTTCTGGAGCGTTTACCTCGGACTATAGGAGTTAGCTTAGCATGCTAGCTGGAAACACGTTAGCAACACTAGTCAGATTGAGAGTTTGGTGAAGAGAGAAACGGTGTGTTTAACGGAGTTTGCAGGAAAAGGTGATCGAGTAAACATGAGTAAAGTCCAAATGCTGCTGTCGTTGAAGAAGCAGCGACTCACTGCTGCTGCTGAAGAGATATTTGCTCTGTTTGAAAAAACGATAGCAGAGCTCGAGGAGAAGCTGTCTCTTTCCAAAGAGGAGAACGAGAGACTCCAGAAACTACTGGACGCTGTTTTACAGCCTCAGCTTCGGATACACAGAGCAGGTCTGTTCCCTTTACTCTTCATTAACACTTTAAAGCAGAGGTGTCCAAATTACGGCCCGCTGGCCATTTTGAATTGGCCCTCAGCTAATTCAAAAAGTATAATGAAATATGGCCCACAAATGAAACTTTTGCTTTTCTTATATTGTACTTCTTAAATATATATGTACAGATTACTATTACACAGTAGTATTCATGTGTTAATAAGCCCACTTTTAAAATAAATTCAGTCAATTCATGTTGATAACATTTTCTAACAAATCTTAGTTGATACAAAAAGCCTAATAACTTATTTACATAACAAGCTTGAAATAGACCCTTCATATTTCATCTTATTATAATCACTCTGAGACTTCTGTTTTTAAGGGATGAGCTGCCAACAAGATAAATGAAACCCTATAGAGAGCTGTGATGTAGGCGGTTTTTTTCTTAAAGCATATTCATGTATCGAGCCTAATTTACCTACATGTTGCTAACTTATAACTTAAAGTGGACCTATCATAATATATTTAAATGATATATTGTTGGGCCATACCTATATAAGGTATATTTATACGTTTCCGTTTTCAAAATTCCAAACAGATCATGCATTTTAGCCATGCCTCATTTCGCTCTATTTGCTGTTTGCTGTCTACGGGGCTGATTCTGTGAGCTGCAGCTGACCACGCCCCCCTGCAGGAGAGGGGAGCCGTGCTCTGATGAAGTCAGAAGAGGGGGAGAAAAATAGATCTCCGTCCTCCATGTTATTATAGGCCTATAGAGTCGTTATTCATTTGTTTTAAAGCTCAATAAATAACAAAGAAGACCTTTGACCGGAAGATTTAAACTTTAACGGACATCTTGACCGGCGAAAGAAAACCTAACTGAAACTCTGCCGCACGGTCCCCTCGTTCCTTGGAAGAGACGGAGAGGTGGGTGTTTGTCATCTGCTGGTGGACTAACCGGAGAGAACTAGAAAATGCATTTCCTGCAGAAAATGCGTGCGAATGCTGTAAACTGTGAACATTTGTAGCTGCTTTTAGCTACAAAAATGCAGAAAAAGCTTAATATTTAAAAGAAAAGGTTTAAAAAAAAAGGTATAAACAACATGTATAGCCTTGATGTCCTGAAATAGTTGAATAATGTAATAGTTCAATGGTTTCTGCAGCTGAAAATAGGCTGAAGGAGTTAAATATCAGATGTAAGTAGTAGTGAATGAATTTGTATTAAGATGAGAAAAGAAAGTAAAAAGGCTTGGGAAAGCAGCAGAATATTAGTACTACAAACTTTTGAACTAACTTGATGGTGAATTATCTGTCGCCATGGCAACGGCATTTGATGACACCCCATAATACGCTTAGATGTGTTGATGGCTGCATCGTTACCAAACCTGTGAAGTTTTGGGCCATTTCGAGCATTTTCACTGAAGTTATGAGAAAACCAGAGTTTCATGGTGAGCATTGTGCATTGTGTTGCCATGGCAATGGCATTTGAAGAAATCTCAAAACTGTCCCGTAGATGTCTTCACGTCTGGACTGTTAGCACACATTTGAAGTTTGAGCACTTTTTGAACATTTTCATAGGAGTTATACATTACATTAGGAGGTTACATTACTCTCTCTCTTCTCTTGATCGCCCTCTCTCTCTTCTCTTGATCGCCCTCTCTCTCTGGTCGTTCACATATGTGAATGGTGGTAGGTCTGGTATAATTCTGTCTGTTGGCAGATCTGAAATGTTTTGTTCTCCTGCATTTCCATGCATGCGTCTGCACACGGTGGGTGTTTCTCAATGTAGAGGACGCTTCCTTGGTAGAACAAGTCCCTCCGAGTCAGTTCCTTCTGAAGCGAGGCAAACATCCTTCCTAGCCTCGGAAAACGAAGAATGGTGGAACAGGCTAACAGGTGTGCAGGTGTGCGTCATATGCGAGGCCCGCCTTAAATGGAGCGCAATTTCCGCCAAAGATTTTGGAAATTGGTCCGTCCGCAAACTAAGCATTGTGGGGATTTTAAGACCGCAGAGGCTACACATGTGCAGCCTCGAAATTTCCCTCAACGAAGGACGCCGGCCTCGGTAGAATTCCAAGTATCCTGGACATTGGAACAGTCCTTCGGCGGCACTCGATGACGTAGTATCCTTGGATAGCTCTGGAGCAGCTTTCCTCGACATTGAGATACACCCAGTACATTCAGATATAATTTTTCTGGCTAATGCATTGGCACATGGTATCCAGTATTTTTGTCTTAACCTGGATAACATGATTCCTTCCACTGTGACCAACTTGTTGATGAATATCTCGAAGTATAGTTTTAGAGACATGGTGGTGTTTTCCAAGAATGGTTGGGTGCTTTGCTTCCTCAGGCATTGCCATTTTATTTAGCCTTCCTCCAACCTTTACCAGTTCATTCTCGTACACTGGATCCAATTTATACAGTGCACTACTTCCTTTGATAGGTTTTCCCCTTTTCAAAGTGTCCACTTCCTCTGGAAAAGACACAAAAGAACACAACACTGCTGCTTCAGCCTTATCCAAGTTATCCTTGGAGATTGTGAGACCTCTCATAGAGTCATTAAACACTCTCATCTCCTTCTCAATCAGCTTTATTTGATTTGGTTCTTGTGCTTGAGTAGAAGTAAGTACTTCCCTCCTCTTCTTACTCGTTTCATTCACAATGTATCTCAGAACAGATGTACTGTCAGTCCAGAAGACAGATTTGCATAATGGGATTTGCAGCTCGGTTCTGATCATCTTGTCAATGCGTACTGCCAGTACTGCTGCTGTGAGCTCCAATCTTGAGGCACGACACGTGACTTTCCTGACATGAAGGATATGTGAACGTCTTCATCTTCATTTGTCATCTTAAGGTAGGTGACAACTAGGGATGGGAATTTGAAAGCAAATGTATATTCGACCCCAATAAAACGGTTAACCGATTAACCGAAATGTACATATCTATACAAAAAAATGTGCGAATATTTATTTTTATTTTTAATAAATACATGTTCAAATAAGTATCGAAACCAAGTCGAATTTGTCAAATGTATTGAACTGGTGATCACAGTTTGAACAGTTGACAGCTATAGGCCTACAGCTTTCATGCTTAAAACATAACTTGGTTTTTAAATTAAAGAGGGATCATACACGAACAACATAACGGGTTAGGGTCTATGATTTATGATGATGTGAAAAAGTTCAGCTAATGTTGAAGGCCTTAAACATTAGCTGAACGTAACCCTATTACAACAGAGATCAACAACCTATAACAGGGCCTATGCACAGAATGCAGCTATTCAATACTCATTCTTGTTTAAGAATATGAGCATGTCTACATGCTCAGCGGAGA